CTGATGTCAAAAAATTTTGTGCATTAGAAATGGTGTGTGCGTCGGAAATGAAAAATTATTTGGGTTGATTTTGTTAGCCAAAAGAAGATGGGTTGGCCATGAAATAGGGAAGGAGAGATAAAAAAAACGCGAAAAGAAGGAAGGAAAAAGAAATAGAAGAAAAGGAAAGAAAGTGAAAACCTTGTTTTGCATTTATGAGATTAGGATGGCATAAAAAATAAAATTTGATAACATAGCAAGGCTAATATAGATTTTTAAAAATATTGCTAACAAAGTTTGTCCTAACATTTCACTCCAAATCACAAGGTTAAATGTATATTTTTAAATCATAAGGAAGTAAAATGTAATTAATTCAAAAAAATAAATAAATGATGTTGTACAATGGATTAGGCTTTTCTGATATTCACATTTTAATATAAGAAAATTTAAAGAATTCGTGGAGCTTATCAAAGGTCTTGTTTCAGTTTGATGATTCAAACCGTTTACTTTTTAAGACAAATTTATCGTGTAGAATATTCATGTAAAAAATCATGATGATCGGAAATTGATAGATATATGTTCGAATAAAATTTGTATTACAAAAAATAGATGGTTATTTCTGAAATTATATTTGTCGTACATTTTTTTAAAACAAATATGATTTGAACATATAGCTATCGATATCTAATCATCTTAATTTTTTGTATGAATATTTTACTCAACAAGTCCAAAAAAATGAACTATTTGAATTACTGAAATCGATTTTAAAATGGGTCTACTAAGCCAAAACGCTTTCTCAAGTTCAGATAACAATTTGAGAGAAATCAAACCCTTATAAGATAATTACTGGTAAATGACAAATGTAATTTTTAAAACTTCAAAAAACAATCTATATTTTAAGAAAATTTCAAAATAATCTATATTTTAAGGGCTTATTTAATTAACATGATTAATAGTGAGGAGATTAATAGTTTTACAAAGTTAATGTAGAATTTGTTATCCAATTAAATTAGTGGAATATATAATCTCTTTATTCATGTTTGTTTTGCAATCAATATGTAACAACCCCGGCCTATGATTAGTCGATAAACCATGATTAATTATGCCTAATGAGCAATTAAGATGAAATTCTGAATTAATTGCATGCGTGTGACATTATTTGTGTTTATATCTATTTGCTGTAGGAATACCTGTTTGTGTTTCTGTTTTGTTCTGCGAATTGAAGGCCTTATCGGCGTCCGATCAAGAAATTGACTTGATTTATGTGTTGGTTGGATTTTTTAGAATTTTATGGTAGGGTTGATTGAAATTCAATTCAGAACGAATTAAATTAGAATAATTAATGTCAATTTGCTTAGCTTTAATTAATTTCCTAAGCAAGACTATATAAGGCCTATACACACCACTTGAGTCATCTTTTCTCCATCATCTTTGAGCCTACAAGAAACAAAACGTGAGAGAGAGGAAGAGGAGACCAAGAGGGTTGAGATCAAAACTTGAGCTTGGACGAACACTACAAGAAAAAGCACCTTTGGCGAGTCCTTTTTTAGTCGCCAAAAGTTGACTTTTCACTTTCCCCGACTAAATATTTTAGTCACCGATTTTGTCGCGAATACATGGTCGCCGGAGGTATTGGCGACTAAAAAACTTTTAGTTGCCAAAAACCAAGTCTGTAGCGACTAAAATTTTCGTCACCAAAGCCCATTTATATTTTTAAATTATACATTTGGCGACTAAATTTTTAGTCACCAATAGTGAATTATTATTTTTTAATTTATACATTTGCCGACTATTTTTTTCGTCGCCAATACTGAGTTTTTGGCGACCACCCATTTTAGTCGCCAAAAGCTTATTTCAGAAAAAAAAAAAAATTACCCTATGCTCTTCCCAAGTTTTGAACCCCCAACCTCCCACATTCTAAACCTTTAGCAACACACTCTCTCTACTATGCCACAATAATACCACATGAATATATATGCAAAATATATTATTTATATAGTATATTGACCCGTATTAATATAAAACTATATATATAAACATAATTATTTTGCCTCCACTTTTGCTGACTAAACTGAATTTTAGTTGCCAATTGTCCACTTTTAGCTACTAAATTTTTTTTAGTAGCCAAAAACCTTTACTTTTGGCTACAATTTTTTTTTTATCGGTGAAACACCTATAATCGGCGACCAAACTATTTTTTAGTCGCCAAAACCTATACTTTTGGCTACTAAAATTTTTTTACTCGCCAAAAACCTTCACTTTTGGCTACTAAAATTGTTTTAGTCGCTAAAACCCATATAATTGGCGACTAAACTGATTTTTAATCGCCAATAACTACACATTTGGCTACTAAACTGTTTTAGTCGCCAATTGTCCTACTTTCAGCGACGAAATTTATATTTTTAGTCTCTAAAACTGCTTTTTCTTGTAGTGGAAATTGCTAGAGAATTCAAGGGAGTTGGTTTGGAGTCTTAGTGAATTCACCAACTAGAGCTTAATTGAGAAGTTGAGGTAAAGATTCAATACTTAGATTATATAATTATGATATCTAGAACATGAATTCTAGGGGATTAAGTTGAATTATGCTAGAAATGAGCTAGTAAAGTAGAGAAGATGAACATTTCATGCATGCATGGGCATTTCATGGATTTGGAGTTTTGATTTTAACAAATTCTCACATGCAAGGACCTATTTTTGTTCAATTATGGGAGCTCATTGTGGTTTTTCACTTTAACACTCCATTGTACATGTTTTTTGAAGGTTAAAGTTCTTGACAACACATGTATGTTATGTACACACATTTGTCAAGTTTGGGTTTTGAAGAATTCACTTGCTTTTGGGCCTTGATTTTGTGTAATGAACCTTAATTCATGATGTTTCATAAGTTTACAAGTGTTTTCTCAAGTTTTAGGGCCCAAAGGTTGTATTTTGCAGCTTTGAATTTGAGTTTTGGACTTAGAACATCAATATGAAAATTCTAGAATTCTGTCTCTCTGCTCGAGTGACAAAACCTGCGCTCGAGCGACCACTCCAGATTTTGCACTTCCGTTCGAGTGACCAAAAGTTGGCTCAAGCGTAAAATGCATGCTCCCAGAAGTTTACACATTTTGCAGACTGCTCAAGCGACAAGAGTTGAGCTCGAGCGAAGACCTCAGTCTCACGCTCGAGCGACCGTCTAGCGTGCATCGAGCAAAAAAATCAAGCAACCAGTACTTTTACAGAGTTTATAGACTGCTCGAGCAACCACCTTTATTTTTAACCCTCCGCTCGAGCGATGACCTTGTTTTCAACAAATTTGACCAAGTGTTTTTAAGTGCATTCTGGCATCCTCATTGCATCCTAGGCATTTCTAGGCCATAATTAAGATATAGTAACAAGGACAAAGACTAGAAACACGCTAAGAACAAAACAAAATAAATTGAGTACTTTGAATGTGTGTTTCAATATATGTATCTGTTATGTATGTGTAGGTCACGCGCTGTAAGCCATCTGATTTGTCTGCTTTGTTTGTCTACTTTTGGAGCCATTTGTGAGTAATAACTACTTAAAGTTATGTTCAACTTTATTTATTTTCTGTATAATGAATTAAGATCTGTTTTCTTAAATGATATGTTCTGTACAATGAATGATTGTCCAATTCTGGCAGTGTATTCATGGCATCTTTAGCATTATGTGTTATCTATTAGTTGTTATCCGGTATCAGAGGTTTCATCATGGAACTTAATATGTCTGTTATCTGTTACCCGTATTGGAGGCTCAATTATGGAGCTTAGCGTGTTTGTTATCTGTTACTCGGATCCGGAGGTTCCTTTATGGAATTAGTTATACATAATCACCATCTGTTCTGTATCTGTTCTGTTAGCGCTAATGGATGTACCACGTATGATTAAGTATGAACTCTAATTTCTGAATTTGGTATGGAACATCATTCAATTAAAACCCTTTATTCCATTATTATTTACTAGGCTTCTACTCACTATTTATATTATGTATGTAGGTGATCAGACGCGTGATCAAGCCCAATGATGATCACCTGGAGCTTGTTTTGCTGGCCAACCCTTGTGTCTCCTGAGGAGGTTTCGAAAGTCATGTGGTCATGTTTTGTGAATGTATAAGACTTGTTTTCTTTTGGTATATGAACAAGTTTTCTGTTTATCTGTACATTGGACTAAGTCCTCCTTTGACTTTATTTGTGTAAATGGGTGACATAAGACTATCGTATCTATGACGTCACATGTATATATATAAGTTTTTGAAAATTCTGTCCCATGTACGTCAGCACAGCTCAATGGACTATGTATGTTTTATATGTCTGCTTTTGCAGCCCCTTAATATGTGATAAACTGTTCAGAGGCCTTTGGTAATCCAAGGATTAGTTGGTTACGGCGCTAAACCTATAGAGGCAGGTTTGGGTCGTGACATAGTGGTATCAGAGCACGAGTTATACCGCACACACAACTCCATATGAGCTATAAGATGTCCTAGAAAAGAATTAGGGACATTTCATCTGTATATGTGAGTGTGTATTTATTTCTGTAAATGCTGAATCATGAATACATGAAATTGAAACGAATGAACTGGAACTAAATACTCTGAACATTATGAAAAGAACTATTTGCCTGTGTTTATAAGTGCTCTGTTTACCTATAGCATATGGAAATACAAAACGTCACGGTACAACTGAATTCTCAATGGCTCGCATGAGCCGAATGGAACAAATGCTCGAAGCCCTAACTAAATCTATGAGGCAGTAACAAAGACAACAACCTCCGCCTCCTGCAGTCCAAGCTGAATTGGATAATAATGACATCATAAATCTAACCAAGAAGTTCATGAAGATGAAACTGCCGACTTTCTTGGGTGGAATTGAACCATTAAAGGCAGAGACATGGTTACTCGAGATGGAAAAATTATTTGAAGTATTTCCCTATTCTGAGATTTAGAAGGTTCTCTTGGCCACCTATACTCTAAAAGATGAAGCTCGAAGGTGGTGGTTGCTGATTTGAAGTAGTAAGGGAAACATGACATGGGCTCAATTCAATGAGATCTTCTATGACAAGTACTTTCCTCAGTGCTTTCGGGACCGAAAGGTTTTTGAATTCCAAGAACTCAAGCAAGGCAACATGTTTGTAGCCGGGTATGAGGCTAAATTCATTGAACTAGCTCGATTTGTTCTTCATATGGTGGATACGGACTACAAGAAAGCTCAGAAATTTGAGGATGGATTGGATTTAGATGTATTTGATCGAGTAGGTGTCTTAAAGATACCTACATATGTGGATGTACTTGACAGAGCATTGATGGCGGAAGACAATCTGACAGCAAAGAAACAAGTTAAAGCACCAACAACAGAATGGAAGGGTAAAAGATCTGGGTACGGTTTTAGAAAGGGTTGTTCTTTTGGAAACAAAAAGCAAAACACAGGGTTTACAAGTAGCTCAAGTTAGAGCAGTGGGTCTATACCAGTTTGTCCTGAATGTGGAAGGAAACATAGAGGTGTACGTTACCGTGCATCCAGTGCTTGTTTCCGATGCGGCAAGACTAGCCATGTAGTGAAAGATTGCCCATTTAGATCTGATATTGCCATCCATCCTGTAGCAAGTTCAGCCAGATCCGCTTCTGCAGCTAGAACAAATACGAGAGCGAACACTGGAAGAGAAACCTTGAGACAAGGCCGAGTTTTTGCATTAGTGCATGGTGACGTATAGAACACTGAAGTTGTGCTGTTAGGTATATTCCCTATTTGTGCTCAAAATGCCTATATATTGATAGATTCTGGTTCTACGCATTTTTTCGTATCGCATGCTTTCTCTCGAAAACTGACTAGACCATTAGAACCTATGAATTATTTGTTATCTATATCTACCTCATCTGGAGTTTCTATGGTATGCGCGTATGTTTATTTGGCATGTGACATTGTGATTGGTGGCATGACATTATATGTTGATTTATTGTCGTTGGGAATTGATCATTTGGACTGCATATTGGGTATGGATTGGTTAACGAAGTACTGTGCATCTATTGACCGTGTGAATAAATCTGTTGTATTTTGTCCACCCGGGCTACCAGAGTTTGTGTTTGCTGGGAATGGGGTAGTTCCTCCCCCATACTTGATTTTTGCCATGAAAGCTATTAAATTGCTTAAGAAAGGATGTAGGAGTAATATGTGTTGTGTTTTAACTATAACTTCTGATAGTCCTAATGTGGAAACCATTCCTATTGTTTGTGAATTTCCTGATGTGTTTCCGAATGAATTTCCAGGGGATTTGATTGATAAGGAGATTAAATTCACCATTGATGTAGTACCCGGAACAGAACCAATTTCCAAAACCCCATATAGAATGTCAACTTCTGAATTGAAAGAATTGAAAACTCAAGTTCAAGAACTGTTAAACAAGAGATTTATATGCCCGAGCACTTCACCATGGGGTGCTCCAGTTTTATTTGTCAAAAAGAAAGACGGATCTTTGAGGCTCTGTATAGACTATCGGGAGTTGAACAAAGTAACCGTGAAGAACAAATACCCATTACCCTGAATAGATGATTTATTTGACCAACTCCAGGGAGCCCAAGTGTTTTCTAAAATTGATCTTAGACCGAGCTATCATCAATTGAAAGTTAAGGCATAAGACATTGAGAAAATAGCTTTTCGAACTAGATACAGATACTATCAGTTTTTGGTAAAGCTGTTTGAAGTAACTAATGCACCTGCGGTATTTATGGACTTAATGAATAAAGTGTTTAAACAATTTCTTGATTAGTTTATCATTGTATTTATGATGATATTCTGATTTACTCCAAAGGTAGGGAAGAACATGAAAATCATCGGAGAACTGTTTTACAGATTTTGAGAGAAAAGAAGTTATATGCAAATTTTTCCAAATGTGAATTTTGGCTTGACAGTGTAGTATTTTTGGGACATGTAATCAACAAAGACAGCATATCAGTAGACCCACAGAAAATTGAGGCCATTGTTGACTGCCCAAGACTAACTAATCAGAAGTTTTCTAGGACTCGCAAGTTACTATCGCAAATTTGTGAAAGACTTTTCAAAACTTACCATGACATTAACACAATTGACACAGAAAAACCTGCCATTTGATTAGACTGATCAGCGAGAATCAGCCTTCCAAGAGTTAAAGACTTGATTGATAACTGCACCAATTCTAACATTACCTAACGGAACCGATGTGTTTCAGATTTATAGTGATGCTTCCTACAAAGGCTTGGGATGTGTATTAATGCAAAATGGGAAGGTAATTGCCTATGCTTTTCGACAACTCCGCCCACATGAAAAGAATTACCCAACTCATGACCTTGAATTAGCAGCTGTGGTTTTTGCATTAAAGATTTGGCGCCATTATCTGTATGGAGTAACTTGTGAGGTATATACTGATCATAAAAGCTTGAAATATTTCTTTACCAAAAAAAAACTGAACATGAGACAGAGAAGATGGCTGGAATTGATAAAGGATTATGACTTACAAATTTTGTACCATCCGGGGAAACCCAATACCGTTGCAGATGCTTTGAGCCAAAAATCTATTGGGAATTTGTCATGTTTACTCACCGGTCAAAAGGATTTGATATGCGACCTAGAAAAAAATCAAATTGAAATTGTGTTACGTGAACATGACAAGATTTTTGTCGCCATTTCTGTTCAACCTGCAATTATTGAAGAGATTAAAGAGAAACAACTTGAAAATGAGTTCTTGAAGAAAATTTATGATGAGATTGAGTCAAAACCAAAATTGGGATTTGTGCTAGAAAATAATGTATTGAAATTTTAGAGTCGACTTTGTGTGCCGGACTGTCTAAATTTGAAAAAACGAGTCATGGCCGAGGCTCACAATTCAAAATTTGCTATGCATCCGAGAAATACAAAGATGTACAAAGATTTGAAGCAAAAATTTTGGTGGCCTGGGATGAAGAAAAGTATTGCTGACTTCGTGGCCAAATGTTTGCATTGCCAACAAGTTAAAGCTGAACATCAACGACCCCCTAGATTACTCCAGCCACTTCCAATACTGGAATGGAAATGAAGGCATATTACCATGGACTTCATCGTGGGATTGCCTCGCTCTACTCGAGGTATGGACTCTATTTGGGTAATTGTTGACTGTTTGACGAAATCTGCACATTTCTTACCTGTTAAAATTTTCTATAATGCGGATACATTGGCTAACATGTATGTGAATGAGATTGTAAGATTTCATAGTGTGCCAGTATCTTTTGTGTCTGACAGAGATCCTAAGTTCACTTGAAGATTCTAGCAAAGCTTACAACAAGCTTTGGGAACTGAGTTAAGATTAAGCAGTGCATATCACCCACAGACAGATGATCAATTAGAAAGAACGATACAGACTTTGGAAGATATGCTCAGAATGTGTTCCCTAAATTTCCAAGGCAGCTGGGAGACCTATTTACCATTGGCCGAGTTTGTGTATAACAATAGCTACCATTCGAGTATCGATATGGCTCCTTATAAAGCTTTGTATGGGAGAAAATGTCGTTCTCTAATATGTTGGGCCGAGGTTGGTGACAGACCTTTGTTCGGATTGGAACTGGTGCAAGAAACAACTGAAAATGTGAAATTGATTCAGTAGAGATTGAAAACTGCATAGAGTTGCCAAAAGAGTTACGTAGATGTCCGAAAAAGAGATTGTGAATATGAAGTTGGGGATCATGTGCTTATCAAAGTGACTTCTATGAAAGGGTAAACGCGGTTTGAAGTGAAAGGCAAATTGTCACCAGGATATATTGGGCCATATGAAATCCTTGAAAAGATCAATCCGGTGACATATCGAATAGCCTTATCGTCGGTCATAGAACATATGCATAATGTTTTTCATGTCTCAATGCTTCAGGAGTATTTAAGGGATCCGTATCATGCTATTGAGTCGACTCATGTGTTTTTGAAGGATGATTACATGTATCAAGAAAGGCCAATACAGATTGTGAACCATCGCAATCAAAAGACTGAGGAACAAGGAAATACCGTTGGTAAAAGTTGATTGGCAAAACCACGGAGGGACCTATGCAACTTGGGAGACGGAGGAAGATATGATGAGGAGATACTCTGATTTGTTTCCTTTGGATGCGATGTTCTTCCAAAATGAAGGTAATTCGAGTTTGAAGGACCAAACTCTGTAAGGAGGGAAGACTGTAACAACCCCGACCTATGATTAGCTGATAAACCATGATTAATTATGCCAAATGAGTAACTAAGATGAAATTTTGAATTAATCGCATGCATGTGACATTATTTGTGTTTATATCTGTTTGCTGTAGGAATATCTATTTGTGTTTCTATTTTGTTCTGCGAATTGAAGGCCTTATCAGTGTCCGATCAAGAAATTGACTTGATTTATGTGTTATTTGGCATTTTTAGAATTTTATGGTAGGGTTGATTGAAATTCGATTCGGAACGAATTAAATTAGAATAATTAATGTCAATTTGCTTAGCTTTAATTAATTCCCTAAGCAAGTCTATATAAGGCCTATACACACCACTTAAGTCATCTTTTCTCCATCATCTTTGAGCCTACAAGAAACAAAACGTGAGAAAGAGAGGAAGAGGAGACCAAGAGGGTTGAGATCAAAGCTTAAGCTTGGAAGAAATTGCTAGAGAATTCAAAGGAGTTGGTTTGGAGTCTTAGTGAATTCACCAACTAGAGCTTAATTGAGAAGTTAAGGTAAGGATTCAACACTTAGATTATATAATTATGATATCTAGAACATGAATTCTAGGGGATTAAGTTGAATTATGCAAGAAATGAGCTAGTAAAGTAGAGAATATGAACATTTCATATATGCATGGGCATTTCATGGATTTGGAGTTTTGATTTCAACAAATTCTCACATGCAATGACCTATTTTTGTTCAATTATGGGAGCATAATGTGGTTTTTCACTTTAACACTCCATTGTACATGTTTTTGAAGGTTAAAGTTCTTGACAACACATGCATGTTATGTATACACATTGGTCAAGTATGGGTTTTGAAGAATTCACTTGCTTTTGGGCCTTGATTTTGTGTAATGAACCTTAATTCATGATGTTTCATAAGTTTACAAGTGTTTTCTCAAGTTTTGGGGCCTAAAGGTTGTGTTTTGCAGCTTTGAATTTAAGTTTTGGACTTAGAACATCAATCTGGAAATTCCAAAATTTTGCCTCACCGCTCGAGCAAAAGAACCTGCACTCGAGCGACCACTCCAGATTTTGCACTTTCGCTTGAGCGACCAAAAGTTGGCTCGAGCATAAATTGTATGCTTCCAGAAGTTTACACATTTTGCAGACCGCTCAAGTGACTGACGAGCGTGCGTCGAGTGGAAAAATCAAGCAACCAGTACTTTTGCAGAGTTTACAGACCGCTCGAGCGAGTGAATTTGCGCTCGAGTGACCACCTTTATTTTTGACCCTTCGCTCGAGCGAAGACCCCATTTTTAGCAAATTTGACCAAGTGTTTTCAAGTGCATTCTGGCATCCTCATTGTGTCCTAGGCATTTCTGGGTCATAATTAAGACATAGTAACGATGACAAAGACTAGAAACACGCTACGAACAAAACGAAATAAATTGAGTACTCTGAATGTGTGTTTTAATATGTGTATCTGTTATGTATGTGTAGGTCACGTGCCGTAAGCCATCTGATTTGTCTACTCTGTCTGTCTGCTTTCGGAGCCATCTGTGAGTAATAACTTAGTAAAG